TGTGACCAGGGATCAAAGACCTAGATCAAATTTCTACTCCCCTCTGTGCCCGTCACAATGAGGGGCTCATCTGGTTGCTCTGAAGACCCCACTCATGGGTCAGAATCTGCCATGACCTGTCTTCTCCATTCTCCTGCCTCCATGCCTCTGTTGGGTTTCCGTCTGTCCTTCAACCCTAGTTGCGCCTTAGGACCACCTGGGAAATGTAAAGAGCCCCGGTGCCCAGCACTCCATCCTAATCAGGGCACCTGTGGAGGTAGCAGGGCTTTGGGACTAGTTTTTAATCCTCACTGGGCAATGCATCATCATAACTGAGAATTGCCACCAGGATCAGGTGGTCCTGGACCACAGAAGCTGAGCCTCCTATGTCACTGGGTACAGCCTGGCCTGTGGTAGGTTTGCCATAAAGAAGGAACCACATCCTGAACAGGGACGGTGACGTGACTGCATCCGTCCTGTCACCATCGGTGACTCTGAACTCTGTCTCCGATTGTCCTCTCTGCCCATCTGTTTCCTCAGGATTGAAACTCCTGGAGTGAGCAGGGAGACTCAGGAAACTCACATCACAAGAAAGTTAGAAGACCCCTTCAGAAGGGTCATTCACAAGGCCTCTGCCTGTGGTTATATGAGCAGTTCACAGTCGCTGGGGTAGAGGAGACTCCAGTGGTACAGATGCTACGAGTGACAGAGGGGGCATCAGGGATGCAGCTTTGGTGAGTGGTCATGCATGCCGGCGGGCTGGGCTTTCCAGGAATGTGATTGTTGAGTCACTCACACTCCTGTAATTTCAATAAAGTCATTGACTCACCAAGCCGGGCCTCGGTGGGAATCATTCCTTTGTTACCCTCTCTGCTGGGGTGAGTAGGAAGTCTCCCCAGGAAAAGTCACACCCATCACCATCTTTGAGGAAGTCCAGCCCCCTGGGTGGAAAAGCCTACCGTGCACCTGTGCATGCAGCTCCTTCCATTTCCACCAGTGCTGTCGTCGTCTGTCAGTCATAATAGTGAGCGTCTGTTTTAACAGTCTCAGTCTACCTCCTCCTTCCCAGATCACTCTGGTGATTGTGGGACTTGGGGGTGCCCTCCAAGCTGACACCCACTGGGGTAGCGATGGGGGGGGTGAGCCAGAAAGAGCAGTGCCAGGCTACCCAGGTGGCTTAGCAAGTCAAGGCCACTACGGGTCAGCAGAGAGTCAGCCTCAGTCAGCTTCCCCAGTGTTGTCAGCTGGACTTAGTGTTGGTAGTGATGCCAGCTAAGGTTAGCCCTGCCTAGCCCTTAGCACCTCAGATCTGGGAGACATTAGGGTGATGCGGCTGTATGGCACCAGCTTTATTGTGCAATGGAGCATAGCTACATCCTTACTCTTTGCTCTACATGGTCCATTCCTGCTGCAGAGCTCAGCAAAGGTGCGCTCAGCATTCCGAACACCCCCTCCTCAGATGCCTGGCTCCCTTCAGCTCTGCTTCCCCCATGTGGTCTCTCCATTTTGATCACTTCAATGCTGGTTCAGACTCCAAATCTCAGCTCAGAATTAAATGATCTCTTCTAAGAACTGAAACTTGTGAGACCAGAAATGAGCAGAGGCTTGCCTGGGAGTTCTGGGTTCTGTAGAACCAGCAGATCGAGCATGGTCAATAAAATATTCATATGTGTATCTAATGACGCCTTTATTTTGTTGAAATGTCGCTAACCGACTTGTCTCTGAGATAGCACCTAATGAGACAAACAGCAATGCAGAATTCTCTGGATCATAAATTGCTTCCTAATGTGGTTTTCAAATGGGACAGTGGGTATCATTACATGTGCACTATGACCCACTTACAAGTATGTAGGGTGCTGACTTTGTTACACTAAAACTGGGCAGCGCGTGTTCAATAAGAAGAGTAACATCAATAAAAACTTACTAAATAAATGATCAGAGATACAGATAATTGAATTCCTGTCCCCAGGTCTATAAGGTGGGGGATGCCCTGTGGAGTCTCCGGGTGTGAGCGTGCTTGTGGGGTTTCAAGGGCTCACAGGATCAGCTGCTCCTGTTTGCTATGAGATCACAGGAAATACCTGGTCACCTGTGGAGACACATTCCTCCGTGTGTATGTGTGTGTGTGTGTCTGTGTTCATTTGTGTGCAGGTGTACATGTGCATGTTTTACATGAGTGTGGGTGACAGAGGAAAACCTTGGGTGTTGTTCCTCAGGCACCATCACCCTGTTTTTTTGAACCTGGGACTTGCCTCTTAGACTAGGCTGGCTGGCCAACAAGCCCTAGGGATCCGCCTGTCTGCATCCCTCTAGTGCTAAGATTACAAGCATACATGACCATGCCAAGTTTTTTTACTGTGGGCTCTGGGGAATTGGACTCAGTGCCTTGGGCTTGCAAAGCAAGCACTGTACCTACTGAGCCGTTTCTGTAGTCTCCTGTGTGGTTTTAATATGTAGATGTGAGCTTGAAAATGAAATCCAGAGCTTTGGGCAGGAGTAGTAAAAATTTCAATTAGAGGTGCCTCTCAGTCCCTCTAGATCCACCCAGTATCCTGGGAACCTGAGATGTACACCCTTCCCTTGGCTGGCCAGACCTGGCTTTGTCACTTTCCTGAGCTAGCTGTGTGTGTTGTGGGGGGGACCAAGAGTCCTTAGGAAGTTCTATTTGAACTCCAAGTCCAGGGACCTGCAGCCCATAGGAGTGATGAGCCAGTGACCTAAGCCAGGCCCAGGGCTTGCTGGAACACGGGGAGCCTTCTCTCTGCTGTGTGTACTATGTGATGGTCTGAATGGTGTCCCCCAAGTTCATAGGCTAAGTTCCAACCCTCCGTACCTCAAGACAAAACTGGATTTGGAGAAGTGGTGTTTAAAGAGCTAAAATGAGGCCAGTGGGAATGGGTACTAATCCAGTCTTCCTGGTCCTCATGAGAACAGAACTCGGACATGCACTGAAGGATGAGTGAGTGAGCACCAGAGAGAAGACAGTGTCTGCATCTGCTGACCATCTTGGAAGTCTGTGATTGGAGCTTCCAGACCCCTGCGGGTCCTTGGCAGGCCCGGCTCTGAGGGACGGGTCCTCTTGCCACTCCTGCTGGGGTCCCCAGGGGGCTAATCTGCTCCAACTACTCCATTTTCCAGCCAGTAGCTCTGATGCCTCTCCAATCCCATTTGGTATTTATTCTTCGGTGTTTTCCATGGTTCTCAGAATGAACCTCAAATCACTGAATGGGGAAAGGAGGCCCTGTGAGACCTGACCCTCTGCCGGAAGGGCTGGGAGAGGTGGCTCGCCTGCAGGCTTCTCCCTTTTGTCCACAGCTGTGTCCCCGGGGCACTTCCTCTCAGTCTGTGGTGACTGGTGACTGTCCTTGGCTACCTGGTCCTTCTACTCATACCCCTCCCCCCAGCTCTCAGTAGCTTCCCTGATCCATGAAACGGCACTGTGAGACCCACAGGGTAGGGACCACAGTCTGCCCACTGAGTCCTCTGTGCAGCGGCTCTGGGAGAGCCGACAGGGCTGTGGGGACCACACAGGAACCAGGGAACAGTCCCCTGATAACTCTCTGAGGCATGCTCTTGTAGATGGAAGAGCCAAATCACTCCCATGCAACACCCTGGGTCATCTTATGACATACCACAAGGCCTCAGACAATGCCAAGGCTGTGCTCATGGCTTCCCAAACAATTATTTTTTATAAATTCCCCTGCCTCAGACACTTTATATTAGCAACAGAAAATGTAGTGAAAGATATGTGCAATGACTTGGGCCATACCCTGGGTCTCTGGTTCTCTGTCTCTCTCTCTCTGTCTCTGTCTCTCTCATTTTGCATGCATGTGTGTGGAGGTCAGAGGTTGATGTTAAGTGTCTTCACTTTATTTTTTGAGGCAGGGTCTCCCTGAACCTGGAGCTCACTGATTGCTGGGGTCAAGGAGTCCCAGGGACCCTGCTATCTCTGCTTTCCTAGAGTTGGAGTCACAGGTGTGTGTCACTGACCTGGCTTTTTATGTGAGTGCTAGGGATCCAAACTCTGGTCCTCATGCTTGTGTGGCAAATGCTTTACCCACTGAGCCATCTTATCAGTTCCCTGATCTGTGGTTCTTTTTAAAAGAAAGGTTTATTTTTTGTGTATATGAGTACATTGCCCGTGGAGGCCAGAAGAGGGTGTCAGAGCTGTTGGAATTGGAGTTATGGAGAGTTGTTAGCTACCATGTGGGTGCTGGGAATTAAATCTGTGTCCTCTGGAAGATCAGCCAGTGCTCTTAACCATTGAGCAATCTCTCCAGCCCCTGACCTGTGTTTCTTAAAATCCATTGGGCATCACAGCACAGAATGCAGAGATCACAGAGGCCCAGATCCCTGAGGCAGGACAGGGATGGCTCTAGATTTCTGCCAAGGCCCTTGGGTGATTTTTATAAGCCTAACCTGTGAAAACCATTGACTTGAGGCCTTGCTGCTCAAGGTGTGGCCAGTGGAACAGCTGGTTGTCAGCCTTACCTAGAGCTCTACAAGGATCTCAGGCTCTACCTTAGACCTACTCAATCAATCAAAGAAAGTCCATATGGAGGCATGGAAGCCTGGCACAGCTGAGAGTCAAATGAAGGTTTAGTGGATTATTGATCACCGAGCTCCCTCCTGCCAGGCCATACCATCTTGTTCTGTTCCCATGACAATGGCTTACAGAAGATGGCACTGAGGTTCAGAGAGGTGAGTGACTTCAGAGTCTAAGGTCCATGGGTGAGGGAGCTAAGGCTGTTGATCCAGCAGTCTCACACTCCTGGTCCCCACTGTGCCCTATTGTCCTCAAACCAGGATACAAACAGCAATGACTTTAGAGGAGACATCTGCAGATGGGTTTGACGTCACTTACCATGACAGGACATTGCCCAGAAACATACAGATAGTCACCATCGGGATTCCAAAAGGACGGGGGGTTTCTCTTCTACCCTAAGATCCACACCACCCTATTCCTAGTGGTTCCCAGGGCCCATGTTGTGCTGAGGCTCCAGGAAGGGGCTGGGACTCACCATGTTCGTCCAGCAGGATATTGTCCGGCTTGATGTCTCTGTAAGAGAAAACAGAGGCACAGTGTGAGTCCTGAGCCAGCAGAGGCTTCAGGCTGCAGGATGGAGGGGGCTGCAGGGTTCCGTCTCTCCCTTAGAGTGAGGTCACATACAGGGAAGAGGTAAGTGGTGTGACAACAGAGCCCTGTGTTCTTCCTCCTCTTCCTGGAACTGTAAACAGACTGTTCAAATGTTCTGTTCTAGGATAGTCTTGATTACTAGCCTCTCAACTCCAATTGTAATGGTCATAAGAAACCAACAGCCCGTATACTGAAACTGTTATTTTCCTTGTCATGACAGAGCTGTGGATTGAGTGTGAGGAGCATGTCGCTTCCTGCTGCCCTTTAGCCTTCCTGCCAGGAAAGTTCCAGTGTGCCACTTCATGGGCATGACAAGGTCAGGATAAATGTAAAAACAAAAAGGGGCTGGGGAGATGTTCATTCGGTAAAGTGCCTGCCTTGCAAACATGAAGAGCTGAGTTTGAATCCTGAGCATCCACATAAAAGCCAGGTGCCGTGTGTGGGCCTGTAACCCCAGCTCTTGCAGGGTGAGGTGAGAGACGGGCAGATCCTTGGAACTTATTGTCCAGCCAGCTGGGCTGAATCAAGGAGCTCCAGGTTCACTGGGACTCCCATCTCAAAGAAAACAAATGTAGAGGGATCACGAAAGACACCTAACATTAAGCTTTGCCCTCCACTCCTGTGTGCACACATGCACACACTCACATACACCTAAGTCTCAGAAACAAACGTGTTTCTGAAGGCTGACGTGTTCACCACCAGGCTCTTCGCTGGAGCTGCCCCTTCCTCAGCAAACAGCAAAATCTGGGTGGGAGTGGGTTTCTAGAAAGTTCACTATGTTGCTGTCCTAGTTTTCTATTGCTGTGATAAAACTTGGGGAGGAAAGAGTTTATTTTATCTTACATCTCCCAGGTCAGCCTGCTTTCTTATACAACCCAGTACCATCTGCTCAGGGGTGGCACCGCCCACAGTGGGCTGGGCCTTCCCACACCACTCAACAATTGAGAAAATGCTTTACAGATGTGCCAGTCCTATGGAGACAATTCCTCCACTGAGGTTCCCTCTACCTGGGTGTGTTAAGCCGACAACTGAAGCTATCCAGCACAGTTGCAACGCTAGCCACCCATGTCCAAGTGGCTATTTGTAAAGACAGGTATTTGCTCTCTGACGTGTGACTCTGTGTATTTAGCACAGTGAAGGCCCCTTGCAAACAGGGAGAATGTGTGCACAGAAAGTAAGGGCAGGAGTGTGACAATAAGCTTCAACCGCAGCCTATCAGTTACACACACATACACTCGTTTCACTCTGTATTAAAATCACACATTTCAGAGATATAGGCCCCCATGCCCTGTTTGTAATAAATGTCAGAGCTACTGTGGCTAATGACAGATTTCTTCAAAATAAAGAGTGATTGCTTCTGAGTTTATCAAATATTACCTCCACCTGGAAACATACCCTGGTTATTGCTGATTCCAGGCAATCCTTCCAGGGGGACAGGAAAAACTCTGCACTTAGCATATATATTTAAATTCTGATGCTCACTGCGACTTTTCAAGCCCATGAATTTTGATGAGCATTAGGTAAATCAGCCCTTGCCACCAAGTTAACAGAACAGTCATGTGAGCAAAGAGATGGTATGTGGAGGAGACTAGGGAGGGCCCAGGGAGGGATGAGGTTGCGAATGGAGAAAACTAAAGCAAGAGGCAGAGGACCCAGGGTCAGTGTGTGAGGCCCAAGTCAGCCAACACTGGCTCCCAGGTCAGCTCTCAGCCCAGGGTGGCTCAGCGATATGGCACCTTCTTGACTACAGCTAGGCCATGTTGAAGTCTAGGCTAACTCGAGCCTCTGAAATGAAAAGACAGTTGGCACAGGGTATGGGAATGTGTCAGCAGGTCTCCGGGTTGTCTTGGGGACAGGTCACTGTGTTCCTAAATACACCTTCTAACTGCAGATTTATGGCTTCTGTAGGTTATGCTTGGCTTTCTTTTGCAAAATAGTAATTTTTGTTTAGCAATTGTTGTCTAATAAAATAGAAATTATTAAGGGGGGCTTCCCACCTCTAAGCTTGGGAACTTCAACTTCAACTCTGGCTGTGGTTTTCCTGTATAAATGCTTGCTCTAAAGATGGCTAGGGGATGCACTTGGATTCCGACACTTTTGTGTAGTTGCTGGCAAGCTAATAAAAGACTTTCATTTGGCAAACTTTGTCTGAGTGGTCTTCTCTGGTGAAATACAACAGCTCCAGCAGGTTCTCAAGAAAGCTGAAAGCAATGTGCCAAGAACATGTGCTAAGAAGTCCAAGCATGACAGTATCAGAAGGAACCCCTTTATTTTCTTCACTGAATATAAAGTAATCTAGTCACATGCACAAGATCAAGCCAGTTAAAATCTCTAGTGTGGCTGGGGAGTGGCTTGTGAGGCCCCCACCCCTTGATGACTGCTGAGGAAGAGAGAGCCACTTTTCTTTGGTGGTGGCTGCTGATCAGATGCTCATGCCCCAGTGGCTGACCACACATGGATAAGTATAGGCAACACCAATTGGACTGGAGACGAGCAGAGGGCCCCAGCACTTGGTGCTGACTGAGGCATGCTCAGAGGAGGTAACACAAAATTAACATGTGATGGATGAGGAGGAACAGGGGCTCACGCACACAAGGCAGCCGGAAATCGAGAAAAAACTGTCACCCTGTGACAGGCTTCTAGTCAGTGGAACATGACCAAGGAGAAAGAAGGCCTTGGTTCTCTTTGTTTATGTCATATGGCAGAGTGGATGGGTCATTGCTCCCGTGATTATGTCACTTTATCTCACACTGCTGAGGCAGATGCAGTGTGGGGTCCCCCTCTCTCTCCTGGAAGACAAGAGCCACGGTGTGTGGGCAGGCCACTTGGCTGGGCTATGCAGAGGCCACTAGGAGTCCACAGTTTGGGAGAGGACCCAAAGTTCCAGAAAAGAATGCAACCCCGGGGTACCTGACTTCACTGTCCCAAGACCCTAACTGGAGGGCTCGGGAGAGCTGGGAGGGCACTCTGGACTAGAAACACCAGTGGTTGTGAGTCTCCAAGCTAGTGGCCATTACTTGTGTGGCACCATTACCCTAGTCACAGTTCCTGGGCATTCTACAATGAGCCTCAGTTTCTCCATGTGGAAGGTGCACAGCAGCTGCTGCACTGTGGCAGCCTTGGTCCAGCTCGTTCCAGCTCCCTGGCTGCAGGCACCAGGACTGAAGCCTTTTAAAGGAGCTTGGGAGAACTCCAGGGCAAGTTCTTGAACTTTTAGCAAAGCAAATTAGATCTTGTCTGGACATGATTCACTGGGCAGACTCTGGTCAAGTCGGTGGAAGAGGCGGGGGCAGAGTCACTTGGGGTTTAATAAAGAGCATTTTCTGGGCAGGGCGGCTTATCAGAACTTGTGGTTCATTGGTTCCAAGACCGTCTCCTCCGGCACTATTTTTCACCCTGATCAGATCTCAGCTCTGGAACATCACCCCGGCAAAAATGAGCTGCGTGCCCAGAAAGGGCACAGAATGCCTGGTGTGGATGGAGGGGGGTTGTGACCACATTTGCTGAGGACAGGCTCATCTTTTCTAAGCCTGGCAGGATGACACTGTAATGGAAAGTGTGCTTGGGAGGCGATCAAATCTGGGCCTGCCCTGGAATGACACACCCAGCTCCCTGGATCAGGAACAACTTAAAATGTCAGCTGGGCTACTTAATGTTTTAATTTTTTGACACAGGGCTTCCCCATAGCTCCAGCTACCTGGAACTGACTTTGTAGACCAGGCTGGCCTTGAACTCATAGAGCTCCACATGCCTCTGCTTCCCAAGTACTTGGATTATCCCACCCGGCTCAGCTGGGTTATTTTTAAAAAGCACAAAAAGATGGCTGAGGGCCCAGGAGGCAGTTTCTGCTCCCACCCTCTGCTGGGGCTTAATATTCCAGGTGACCTGGGCAGTGATGAAGACCATGGAGGGCAGAGGGCTGGGCTGGCAAAGCAGGAATCTGCACAGGATGGGGAAAGACCCCAGAGATGGAGTCCCAGTCCCAGCCTCCCTCACTGGTTCTGTAGACTTGCGCATGCACCCTCCCTGAGCCTCAGTTTCCTTAGTTGTCCTTCGGGTAATGCCTACTCTGGGTACACACAGGGGGATTTGGCAAGAGGATTCTTAGGGGGAGCAGCCAGCATGGGCCATGTATGTGGGGCGCGGCTACTATTGCTCTGCAGAGGGAGGTAAAGACCAGTCGGCATCGGGATATGGCCAACAGAACACCTGGGAAAGAGTGGCTGGAGGCCCTCAAGAGTCAGTGGGGGACTGCAGGGAGGGTGGCCAGTAACCCTCAGGGATTGGGGGTGATTGCAGGGAGGGTGGCCGGAGGTCCTTTGGGATTGGGGGTGATTGCAGGGAGGGTGGCCAGAGGCCCTTAGGGATTGGGGTGACTGCAGGGAGGGTGGCCGGAGGTCCTTAGGGATTGGGGGTGATTGCAGGGAGGGTGGCCAGAGGCCCTTAGGGATTGGGGTGACTGCAGGGAGGGTGGCCGGAGGTCCTTTGGGATTGGGGGTGATTGCAGGGAGGGTGGCCGGAGGTCCTTAGGGATTGGGGGTGTGCAGGGAAGGTGGCTGGAGGCCCTCACAGGATCAGGAATGACTACAGAGACTCACCTTGACAGCTGACTTCTGGCAGCAGGCATGGGGCAAGCTCCTATAGGGAAAGTAAAACCTCACAAACGTGGGTCTGAGGTTCCAGAGTCTCAGCACACTGTGTGGGTGAGTGGTGGGGGTTTTCAGACTCTGTAGTAAGAAGTGAAGCCAAGTATGCTTATGCTTCATTTTTAAAAATGACCCTTTTTGTATTTCTGGATGCTTGGTATTTATTACCTCCCCCATACAAGGTTGAATGCCTTTTAAAATATGACCCAATAGCTTAACAAGGCACACCTGACCCTGTCCCTCCTCTATATAAGTCTCTTCATGGTTTTGGGGGGG